TACATAGTGTTTAGTACTGGTTGGTTCTATGGTGCTATGTCTATTGTTTAAACAGAATGTGTTCTCTTATGTGTGGAGACACAGAGATGGGCAAGGTGTATCACAAATTACCATAGACTGTACCTTTCAAAATTATGAATAGAACACCTGAATCCCATCTTTCGATCTAGTGATCAGACTAATAGACATTGCTTTCTTTTAAACAGGAAATGCTAATTTTCTTTTTTTCAATCTTTCCTTTTTTATTCTTATTTTTATTTTTGCTTTATAAATCATGTTCAACTTCCTTAGCAATGAGGGAAATGCAAACTTGTGCAACCATTTTGAAAATCAGTGTGGCAGTTTCTCAGGAAACTGGGAGTCAATGTACCTCAGGATCCAGCAATTCCACTCTTGGGAGCATGGGGGTGGGGGTGGTGTGAGGAAAAGGGGAAAGGGGGAGAGACATATTTTCTTTACAGTGACACTGTATTTCATAGCCTTAGAGTCACCTAGAATTGTTTGCATGGGGACTTTCAGCAAAGCTACGTTAAAGATTTCAGTTGACCTGCCTCATTTTAAGAGCATAAATCTTTGTGTCTTAGAGTTATAAACACACTTGTTTCTTATGTTCCTTGCAAAACGTATAGAGCCTGCCTCTTGTGATGAATAATTTTGTCAACTTGATTGTTTTAAAATGTCTAGAGATTTAGTGACATACACCCATAGGTATCTGTGAGACCTTTCCCAGAAACATTTCCATTCAAGTGTCCCTTCATACTTTGTATATTGTATGGAGTGGAAAAAGAGAATCACACAGACATGTATGTATGTTGGTGTGTGATAGTGCCCTCAGACTCCTGAAGTGTAGACATGTGTGTCTGTATCCTATCTCTGTAACAGAAAGAAAAATCAATTGTCTTTCAAATCACTTTTACAATGGCTGAGAGTAAAACAGTTTATAGTAAGGTGTGAAATTCTAAAATTTGCTTAGGCAAGATACAGAGCTAAGTTTCTATGAGCCAAATGTTTTCCTTGAACCTTGTGATAGAAAAAAAGGCCTGGAGCTGTCTGTGAACCTGTTTATAAAAATAGTGAACAAAGGAATTATGAGCTAATAGTAAATAATGGAAAGATGAGCTTATCTCCTGATTCCTTAAGGCCAAAGAGAAAGTCAACCTCTGGAAAATGATACATTCTCTAAAGAAATTCTTCTGATTTGTCTAAGCTATCTGGGGGCTCTTGAGAATCACAAAGATTATCACAAGAGAGTGTTCACAAATCTCTCTACCATAAAAGTCAAGGTTGTGCTTAAAACAGTAATAATTAAGTAGGAACTCTACAGTAACTCTACATCATGTTCCCCCCATATGATGTATCTGAAGAGTAAACCTCATGAGTAGGAATGTTAATGAGAAAAATCATCAAACACGACAATCTTCTAGGTGATCTAGCTAGTACATCTACATTGTTAATCCCTAGACTTTTGTTCATGTTCAAATAATTAGTTTTGAAAACATGAATTGGTAAAAGTCAACAAGAAATAAATTCTCATTTCTAAACAAGAAGTTACCTCTAATTCACATCTACTTGGCAGAGAAAATAATTAGTTTTCTCCAATAGAGGTTCCGTGGGTACACCAACAAGATTTAAGGGCAGGACTTATGACCATCGGTAGATGGCCAAGAGTGACAAAGCTCAATAGTATTTTAGGACACTTTTAATTTCATATTGCTTTGTTTGGGCATTTTCCATCATACTGTACTTTTGATTGCATATCATTTCTGATTCTGTGTTTTGGGTGGGTATTTGGGGGGATGTTTCTTGTGCTTTTTAATTTTTTTGCTTGTTGAACTTTTAGTGTTTTTTTGATTTTTTTATTGTTTTTGTTTGACTATTATTTGTTTTGTAAATAGAAAAAAAGTTCTAGGTTTGGGAGGAGTTGAGAGAAGGCTTATCATAACCAGAGTATATTGTAAGAAAAATAATATGTATATGCAGATACATGTGTGTAGACACACATGTACATAACATATATGCACATGTACAACATATGTATTATATACATGTGTGTATACATACTTACATAAATACACATGCAAACACACACTCATATATGTATGCATTTAATGATAATGGGTGCTGGAGAGATTGCTTAGCAGTTAAAAGAACTTTCTGCTTTTCCCGAGGACTGAGGTATGTTTTCTAACAACCACAGGTTGGCTCTCAAGTATCTGTAACTTGAGTACCAGGGGATTCAAAACCTTTTCTGGCTACCATGGTCATTGTACACATCTATGTAATGCATAGATGTAAATGCAGGCAAAACTTCCACACACATAAATTAAAATAAAAAAATCTTTAAAGAATTTTATAAATCTAACAATATAATTTAATAGTAGATGTGACTAGTCAGTTCTAAAATGAAAATACATCACTTTTTCTGGCATCACAAAATGTCATCTCTGACATTGTTAGCTTGCATGAGAAATTCACATACTTTTGTAAGTAAATTTAAAAATTGAGAAAAGTACACACATACACACACATACACACACACATACACACACACACACACACTCACAAATAACCACAATCAAAGAAACAGAAGCCCAGGGTCTGAGAGAGATGGGTGAGTGCAAAGAAAAGGTTTGGAGGAAGGGAAAACAATGTAATTATATGGGAGGAGGGACACCATAATTATATAGATTTTTCTTACTTTTTTTTTTACTAATTAAATGTATTCATTTATTTTACATCCTGACCACAGTTTCACATCCATATCTCCCCCCATTTTATCCTTCCCATAAATCCTAATTCACTCCTCCTCTGTTTCTGTTCGGAAATAGGAAGGCTTCCCATGGGCAATAATAAAGCATGGCTTATCAGGTTGAGGTAGGACGTAACTTCTCCCTATGTATTCAGGTTTGGCAAGGAAACCCAGTTTGAGGAATAGGTTCCTGTAAGCCAGCCTAAGCATTAAAGACAGATCCTGCTTCAACCACTGGGAGTCCCAAGCTACACAACTGTCAAACATAGAGGGTCCAGGCTAGCCCCATGTAGGCTCTCTAGCTGTGGGTCCAGCATCTGTGAGCACCTGTGAGGTCAGGTTAGTTGTTTCTATGGGTTCCCTTGTGATGACGTTGATACAACTTGAAACTACTGGCTCATACAGTCCTTTCCCTCTCTCTTCAATGGGATTTTCGAGCTTGGCCCAGTACTTGGTTTTGGAAATCTGCCTGCCTCTGTTTCTACCAGTCACTGGGCTCTTTGATGAAAACTGGAGCAGTCACCAATCTGTACCCCATTTTAAATTGAATTCTTTTTCTTTTTTATGTCAAGTTCTTTATATATTTTGGATATCAGTTTTGTCAGATGTGGGGTTGCTGAAGATCTTTTCCCATTCTGTAGGCTACCACTTTGTCTTATTAACAATGTCCTTTGCCTTACAGAAGATTTTCAGTTTCATGAGGTCTCATTTATTAAGTTTTTCTCTCACAGTCTTTGTTATTGATGTTCTATTCAGAAAATTATCCCCAATGTCAAGGTGGTCAAGGCTCTTTCCCTCTTTCTCTTCTATCAAGTTAAGTATATCTGAACTTATGTTGCAATTTTTAATACACTTGGACTTGAATCTTGTATAGGTTAATAGATATAGATTTATCTCCATTCTTACTACGTGCCAACATCAAATTATGCCAGCACCATTTACTGAAGACTTTTTTCTTTTGTATTATATAATTTTGGATTCTGTGTCAAAAAACAGGTGTCCAGAGGTGTGTGGATTTGTGACTGTATCTTCAATTCAATTCCATTGATTAACCTGTCTGTTTTTATGCCAATATCATACTGTTATTATTACTATAGCTCTATAATAGAGCTTGAAATCAGGAAAGAAGATACATCCTGAAGTTCCTTTATTGTACTTGATTGTTTTAGCTATCTCAGTTCTTTTTGCTATTGTTGTTTTTCCATGTGAAGTTGAATACTGTTCTTTCAAGTCCTGTAAGGAATTGTGTTAGAGTGGTGATAGGGATTGCATTGAATCTATAGATTGCTTTTGGTAAGATGGCCATTTTGACTATGTTAATCCTATTCATAATAATAGGATTCAGGAGCATGGGAGATCTTTCCATTTTCTTATACCTTCCTCAATTTATTTCTTAAAAGACTTTACATTTATATCATATGGGGTTTTCTTTTGTTTGATTAAAGTTATCTAAGTTATCTCAAGATATTTTTATATAAGTTGTGTTTCTTGTGAAGACTGTTATTTCCCTGATTTATTTCTCAGCCTCTTTTTTTTTGTTTGTATATATGAAGGTACTGATTCTTTGAGTTAATTTTATATCCAGCCATATTACTGAAGGTGCATATCAGCTGTAGGAGTCCCTTGATAGAATTTTGGGGTCATTTATGTATATTATAATTCTGCACATAGCAGAATTTTAAATTCTTCCTTTCCAATATGTATCTACTTGATTTTTTGTTGTCATGTTACTCTAGCTAGAACTTCAAATACTACATGAAATAGATATGGGAAGAGGAGGCAGCTTTTCTTGTTCCTCATTTTAGTGGAATTGCTTTGAGTTTCTCTCCATTGAATTTATATTGACTTTTGGCCTACTATATATTGCTTTTATCATGTTTAGGTGTGTTCCTTGGATCTCTGAGCCTTCCAAGCCTTTTATCGTGAAGGAGTGTTGGATTTTGTCAAAGGTTTCTTCAGCCTCTAATGAGATGATCATGTGTTCTTTTTCTTTCATTTTGTTTATATAGTGGATTACATTGATAGAATTTTGGTGATTATATTTTTAAATTGAAAAAAGAACAAATTTAAGTGTTAATGTGCAAAGAAGCAGTCAGAGAATCACAACTCATTTTGCATTTTAAAATGTGACTGTCATATACAGGATGATATCCTGTTTAGCAGAAAGGAAAACGTCAAAAAGTATAGAAGTGTTTGGCAATCTTTTGTAAATATAACCTAAAGATCAATAAAATAATGTGGCAGGGATCGTCGTCGCCCGGGCGGGACATCATGTCGCAGGAATAGTGAGCTCTTGCCTTTTTTACTATGGAGGACTCGGGATAGATTTTGGATCAGAAGAGGAAGAAACAAACTATTGGAGAGACCTGGCCATGACCTACAAGCAGAGGGCCGACAATACACAGGAGGAGCTCCGAGAATTCCAGGAAGGAAGCCGGGAATATGAAGCTGAATTGGAGACTCAGCTGCAGCAAACTGAGACCAGGAACTGGGACCTCCTGTCAGAAAATAACCGCCTTCGAATGGAGTTGGAGACTGTGAGGGAGAAGTTTGAAATGCAACATTCAGAAGGCTACCGGCAGATCTCAGCCTTGGAGGATGATCTGAATCAGATGAAAGCCATTAAAGATCAATTGCAGAAATATATCCAGGATTTGGAACAATCCAATGATGACTTGGAGAGAGCCAAACGAGCAACAATCATGTTTCTGGAAGACTTTGAGCAGCGCTTGAATCAAGCAATCAAAAGAAATGCCTTCCTGGAGAGTGAGCTGGACGAGAAGGAAAATCTAGAATCCGTGCAGAGGTTGAAGGATGAAGCAAGAGATCTGAGGCAGGAATTCGATGTTCAGCAGAAGCAAGACAAGCTCTGGACCTCCTTGCCAGGCTCTGGGGAAGCTGAGAGGACAGACATGGCTGTGCAGGCTCCAGGCTCTATGCCATCCAGTCCCATAGCTCACCGAGGACCCAGCTCTGGTTTAAACACACCGGGAATATTCAGATGTGGTCTGGACAGCTCCAATAGTGGGATCCCACTCACACCTGTAGCCCGAATATAATCCCTAAATATCATTGGGGACCTGCTTCAGAAAGTTGGGGCGCTGGAGTCCAAACTAGCATCATGCAGAAACTTCGTGTATGATCAGTCCGCGAGCCGGGCAAGTGGACCAGCCTCAGGGCAAGGAACCAAAAGCAGAGATGATGGTGACTGACGACCAAGCAGCACCAGTGTCGGACATAAAGGGTCAGGAAAACGCTTGGAGTTTGGGAAGCCAGCCTCACAGCTCTCATCACCAGCACGGCCATCCACCCAGGGTGTGGTCAAGCTTTTGCTTTAGGACAAATGGGAACTGCGCCCTCACCTGTCTTACCCCCTTTATATTTAGCTTTTGGTTGTTTTATTTTCAAATTGGTTTGTTCCGCACAGCCCAAGCTGACTAAGCATCATTCCAGTAATGTGGCCCAGTTCCTGGCAGTATGTGTCATAGAAATAACCTGGTTTCCCACCCCAACTCCCTCCAGCTCTAAGGTTTGGATGATGGGGCCACCCTGTCATTGGCTACTTAGAGTTTTAATGGCCTCCAGAGGTGTTTTGAATATGCCTAATCTTCAGGGGGAAATAGAGCCTAGCTCAGGAGCTCTCTTGCAGCCTACTTCCAGCTGAAGCTGTCTTCTGGAAGGAACATCTGCCAGTGCTTTACAGCATGATTGAATTGTGTCTAGAATTGGGAGATTACAGAAACATGGGGTTGTTTTAAACCATGACCATGTACCTTTACAATTTTTTTTTTTTAAGATGGGGTTTCTCTGTGTAACACTGACTGTCCTGGAACTTACTATGCACAGCAGTCTGGCCTTGAACTCAGAGATCTGCCTGCCTCTGCCTCTCAAGTATGCAATACCACTGCCCAGCCCTTTGACACTTCTAATCTGCCTCATGAATATTTTCAGAGGTGTATCTGAGCGCTCTGGTCAGTGGGAGATTATTCTCTGTAGATAAACCCAGTTTCCTATCTCTCCTGAGTCTCTTGCCTTGATGTTGGGGCCACATCTGCATCATGACCATGAACATCTTGGAGTTAGACTGCTCTTTGTCATGCCATTCCTAAGAAAAATACTTCATCATTCTGTGTCTATAGAATAACAAGGGTGACTAAAACATCAGATTGAGATCACTGGTGGTCACTCCCTTGGGAGAATCAGCACAGAACTGCAACGCCAGAGCCTTGTCTGGTCTGTTTGGGGTGAAGCACACCTCCTGCTTCGGTCCACAATGAGAAATGCACACTGATTTCCAGAGCTTAGTACCCTTCACTTTGCTACTAATGCATTTTTAGTAGATGGGGCAAACCTGGCCTTGAATTGAACCTTGAACTTTCTGGGTGCTGCTGACATTCACAAGGTGGTTTTAAGCTGTGTGTCTATTTGCTTTCCTCAGACATTATAACCTGGGAAAATATGGGTTTTATTTTTCATATTAAAAATAATAAAATCAAAAGAAATGCCTTCTTTAAAAAAATAATAAAATAATGTGGCATGGTGAAAAATAAACAGACACACAAACATGGTCCTTAATGATAACTTTATTCATCAATTTCATCAAGAAACATTTGAAGACAATATGATAAAAAATAATGACACACACACTACTGTAGTACTTAATGTTAATGTCATTTATTTTTCCTTTTTTCTTTTTTTTTCTTTTTTTCTTTTTCCATTCAAAATTTTACACTTTTTCCCCTCCTCCCATTCCCCTCCTGCTCTATCACTCACCCTCCTCCCTCCCCCTCCTTCCCCCTCCCTCCCCCTCCCTCCTTAAGAAAAGGCAGGGTACCTTGCCCTGTGGGAAGTCCAAGACCCTCCCTACTCCATCCAGGCCTAGGAAGGTGTGCATCAAAATGGACTAGGGTCCCAAAAAGCCTGCACATGCAGTAGAAACAGGATCCAGTGCTATTATCGATGGCTTCTCAGTCTGCCCCAAATGGCAGCCACATTAAGAGAGTCCAATTTGATCACATGTTTGTTGAGTCCGGATCCAGCTGGATTCGGTGAGCTACCGTTAGATCAGGCTGTCTCAGTGGGTGGACCAACCCCTCGAGGTCCTGTCTTCCTTGCACATCTTCTCCCTCCTTCTGTTCTTCAACTGGACTTTGGGAGCTCAGTCTACTGCTCTGATGAGGGTCTCTGTCTCTTTCTCCATCCATTGCCTGACAAAGATTTTATGGTCACATTCGAGATAATCATCAGTGTAATAGTGGGGCAAGGCCAGTTCAGGCACCCTTTCCTCTGCTGGCCAAGGAACTAGCTGGGGACATCCCCATGGACACCTGGGACCCCCTGTAGAGCCAAGTCTCTTGCCAACCCTAAAAAGGCTCCCTTAATTAAGATATCTTCTTTCCTGCTCCTATATCCACCCTTCCTCCATCTCCACCTTCCCATTCCTCCAAGCTCTCCCCAGTATTTCCCTTCTCTCTTCTCTCTCCACTTTCAGCATTCCCACTCCCACTCCCACCCCTACCCCCACCTCTACGCTCCCAACTTTTGCCTGGCGATCTTATTTGCTTCCAGTTTCCAGGAGAATCTATATATGTTTTTCTTTGGATTCACCTTGTTATTTGACTTCTCTAAGCATGTGAAGTATAGGCTCTATGTCCTTTATTTATGGCTTGAGTCCACTAACGAGTGAGTACACACCATATTCATCCTTTTTTGGGTCTGGGTTATCTCACTCAGGATAATGTTTTCTATTTCCATCCATTTGCATGCAAAATTCAAGATGTCATTGTTTTTTACCGCTGAGTAGTACTCTTATGTGTATATCTTCCACAATTTCTTTATCCATTCTTCCATTGATAGGTATCTAGGGTGTTTCCAGGTTCTGGTTATTACAAATAATGCTGCAATGAACATAGTTGAACAAATGTTTTTAGTGTATGATAGGACATCTCTTGGGTATAGTCCGAAGACTGGAATTGCTAGATCCTGAGGTAGGTTGATTTCCAATTCCCTGAGAAACGGCCACAATGATCTCCAAAGTGGTTGCCTTACCCCACATCCTCTCCAGCATAGGCTGTAATTGGTGTGTTTGATTTTAGCCATTTTGACAAGTGTAAGATGATATCTCAAAGTTGTTTTGATTTGCATATTCCTGATCGCTAAGAAAGTCAAACATGACCTTAACTGTCTTTTGGCCATTTGAAGTTCTTCTTTTGCGAATTTTCTGTTCAGTTCAGTACCCCATTTTTTAATTGGGTTAATTAAAATTTCCATGTCTAGTTTCTTGAGTTCTTTATATATTTGCAGATCAGACCTTTGTCTTATGCAGGGTTGGTGAAGATCTTCTACCATTCAGTAGGATGCCTTTTTTTCTTAATGAAGCTTTACAGAAGCTTCTCAGTTTCAAGAGGTCCCATTTATTCATTGTTATTCTCACTGTCTGTGCTATTGGGGTTATACGTAGAAAGTAGTCTACTGTGCCCATGTGTTGCAGTCTACTTCCCAATTTCTCTTCTATCAGGTCCAGTGTGGGTAGGATTTATATTGAAGTCTTTGATCCATTTTGACTTGATTTTTGTACATGGTGATTGATATGGATCTATTTTCATTCTTCTACAAGTTGACATCCAGTTATGCCAGCAACATTTGTTGAAGATGCTTTCCTTCTTTCATTGTATAATTTTAGCTCCTTTTTCGAAAATCAGGTGTTCATAGGCTTGTGGGTTAATACCCAGGCCTTTGATTTGATTCCTTTGGTCAACATCTCTGTTTTTATGCCAATACCAAGCTGTTTTCATTACTGTAGCTCTGTAATAGAGTTTGAAGTCAGGGATGGTAATGCCTCTGGAAATTCCTTTAATGTATAAGATTGTTTTGGCTATTCTGGGTTTTTTGGTTTTCCATTTAAAGTTGATTGTTGTTCTCTCTAGGTCTGTGAAGTATTTTATTGGGATTTTGATAGGGATTGTGTTGAATTTATAGATTGCCTTTGGTAGAATTTTCATTTTTACTATGTTGATCCTCCCAATCCAAGAGCATGGGAGATCCTTCCATTCTGTGGTGTTGTCTTCAATTTCTTTCTTCAAAGTCTTAAAGTTCTTGTCGAATAGATCTTTCAGGTCCTAGGTTACTATAACTTCAAAATACTTTATGCTATTTTTGGCTATTGTGAAATGTGAAGTTTCTCTGATTTCCCTCTCTGCTTCTCTATCCTTTATATATAAAAGGGCTACTGATTTGTTTGAGTTGATCTTGTATCCTGCCACATCACTGAAGGTGTTTATCAGCTGTAGGAGTTCTTTGGTAGAGTTTTTGGGGCCACTGATGTACACTATCATATCATCTGCAAATAATGAATGATTGACTTCTTCCTTTCCAATTTGAATCCCCTTGATCTCCTTATGTTGTCTTATTGCTATTGCTAGAACTTCAAGCACTATGTTGAAGAGATATGGTGAGAATGGAGAGCCATGTCTTGTTCCTGATTTAGTGGAATGGCTTTGAGTTTCTCTCCATTTAATTTGAGATTAGCTGTTGGTTTGCTGTATATTGCCTTTATTATATTTATATATGTTCCTTGTATCCCTATACTCTCCAAGACATTTATCATAAAGTGGTGGTGAATTTTGTCAAATGCTTTTTCATCATCTAATGAAATTATCATTAGTTTTTTTCTTTCAGTTTATTGATATGATGGATTACAATGATAAATTATCATATGTTGAACCAGCCCTGCATCTCTGTGATGAAGCCTACTTGATCATAATGGATAATTTCTTTGGATGCGTTCTTGGATTCGGTTTTGCAGTATTTTATTGAGAATTTTTGCATCGATGTTCATGAGTGAGATTGGTCTGTAATTTCTTTCTTGGTTGAGTGTTAGTGTGTTTTTGATATCAGGGTAACTGTAGCCTCATACAAAAAGTTTGGCAATGGCTCTTCTCTTTCTATTATGTGAAACACGTTAAGGAGTATAGGTATCAGCGCTTCTTGGAAGTTCTGGTAAAATTCTGAATTAAAACCATCTGGTCCAGGATTTTTTTTTTTTTTTTGGTTGGGAGGT